CTTAGTTACATTTCCACATGCCCGGATGTTCCAGCTTACCGCAGTAACCAGCCTATAAATATGACAAGGCCTGGTCTGTCCATCTCTCCATATTCTTGCCATGGCTTGAAGATCTGATGCTGGGTTCCAGTCGGAATCGAAGAGTATGAGTCTGGACGCTCCAATAAGATTTAGCCCAACACCTCCTGAAGCGCAGTGTGGTCAATTTCAAGAGAGGACCACCTTATTTGTCCAGAAACAAGCGACTCCGTAGGAGGCACTCAGAGAATCAGATCAATGGCAAAGATGGAACGTAAAACTGCACATACATGCCAATTTTCATAAGAAAAGAATTTTATTAAGTCAATGCTCTGTGAAAGCCTTTCAGGAATGTCAATGATTTAAAAATAAGTCTGCTTTGAAACAATTCTATCCCAAAAAAAGGTATCTGGTTGCTGTAATCAATCGGAATCTCTTGATTCTCGCTGAAATATACCAGGAGATCAATCAAACCATACCTGCCTTTGTACTGAGCAAAAAGACATTTTCCGGATCACGTTCTGCATTGAACTTTGTGACGAGCACATGCCGTTCAGAAACGGGTGTTTGTCCATCTAATCTAATAACGCATAAACCAAGAGACGAGCATAAAGAAGCAAGCATGTCCAGTGTCTAAATCATTGTACTCAAAATATAATGGAATTTACGCAAGATGCTTGAAAAACAATGCCTGAGGTACCTTTGTAAAATTCGAAACTATTACGGCACATTCTCCATTCTGACGAAAACTGGCCATCATTTCCACAAAGACAGCCAACTTTCCTGTAATCATATTTTGATATTTATTTTGCAGCGACAGAAGAATGAAATCATTTCAAGTACAAGTATAAGTACAACTACAATAGAAATGCGGTCCTTCAAAAATGCAATTAGAAAAAAGGTTCTTCTCTTAGACAATTTTAGAACAACTGAAAAAGATGGTTTGTGCCACCTGAAAGTGGCAGTCCATAATTTCTTCGGGTGAGTGGGAAGGGACAAAAAAATCCTTGAAAATTTTCGGTTGCTACAAAAGGTTCTCGGTATTAGAACCCTAATTTACGGGAAAGAGGCAGTGGCGTCACGCCCGCGGAGAAAGATTTCTTTCGCAGAGGTGTCCCGAATTTTTGCATTCTTGATGATGGTGATTTGAACTTGATGGCAAGGTTTTTAGCGAATCTTCGTGATATTCGAAGTTGTAGTGTGATTTCGATAATGAAATCATAA